GAATGTGAGCAGGGAGTGTGTGGCCCAAGTGATCAGCAATTTGGGGGGGTGGAGGGTGCTGGAGGAGGGCAGAGGTACAGAGCCCCTGCCCCACAGGACCACTGGGTAGGTGGGGGGCGACCCCCCGTGCCCACTGCACGCTTGCTCAGCACGCCTTCGGGGCCCGCAGAGACCCCCAAGGACAGCGGGCAGCCTTTGCTCTGCTCCCAGAGGGCGACCCCAGACCCACTGCTGGCCAGCAGGGCCTGTCCTCACCCAGCAGCCTCCAGGGCACAGCATTGCCAGCGGCCACCCCCGGGGTCCTGGTGGGGCCCCGACCCTGAGCCACCCCCATAGGTGGCAGAGGGCAGCCGTGTGTTCACCCACAGCGAGTGGGTGCTTCCCGCCCGCCGGCCGGCCCACACAGCAGTGCACTCCGAGGTTAGCAGAGACTCTTTAATGGGCTCTGGGAGCACGGCCCAGCCCTGTACAAAAAACTCAACTTCACTCTGGCGGGGGGAACACAAGAAAACAAGGCCAGACTTGCTGGGACAGGGGTGGCTTTTCAGTTGGTGGGCGGAGGGGGAGGAATGTTCCCAGGGCCTTCGGACGGCAGCGGGGGCCTCAGCATCGGAGGCATGGGAGTCGGGGGGTGCACCCCAGGATTTGAGGGGTGAACTCCAGGAGGCTGAGGATGGACCCCAGGAGCTGGAGGATGGACCCCAGGAGCTGATGGGTGGACCCCAGGAGGTGGGGGGTGGACCCCAGGAGGCTGGGGGTGGATCCCTGGGGCTGGGGGGTGGACCCCGGGAGCTGGTGGATGGACCCCCGGGGCCTGGGGGTGAACTGCAGGAGCTGGTGGGTGCACCCCTGGGGCCTGGGGATGAACCCCAGCAGATGGGGGAGGATGGACCCCGGGGGCTGGAGGGTGGACCCCTGGCGCTGGAGGGTGGACCCCTGGGGCTGGGGGATGGACCCCTGGAGCAGGGGGGTGGACCCCAGATGCTGGTGGGTGGACCACTGGTGCCGGTGGGTGGACCCCAGGAGCTGGGGGGTGCACTCCAGATGCTGGGGGGTGGACCACTGGTGCTGGGGGGTGGACACCGGGAGCCGGTGGGGGCAGCTGAGGAGGGCCTGGGGGCCCCGAGGATGCAGGCCCACTGGGTGGCATGGGGGGCAGGGGCAGGCCTCCTGGCGGGGGCGGGGGCAATGATTCGGGCAGTGGTGGCCGAGGGGGCAAACCATTCATCAGTGGGGGTGGGGGCCGCTTCACCCCAGGAGGCCCGGCGGGGAGGCTCGGCGGGGCCGGTGGCTTCTCCATCTTAAAGTGGAACTGGAGGAAAAACTGGACAGAAAGGAGAGGCTGAGCACAGCCCCTGGGCCTTGGGCTGGGAGAAGGTTCGGCAACTGCCTGGACCTGCAGTGACTCACCTGCTTAGTTTCCCGGTTCCAATGAGTCCAAAATTTGCCTTCAGCCTTGTCAATCTCCCTGCTCGGCACCTGCGTGGCGTGGGGCAGGGGGCAGAGACGGGCCTTCAGGACCACGAGGTGGCCTGGCTGAGGAGGCCCTTCTGTGAGGGGACAGGGTCTAGCTTGGGGGTAACAGAGTCGACTGATGTCCTTGCTCCACTGCTCAGCAAACCTGCAACCCCGAGAAAGCCGTCATCTATGCTATCCATCCCATTAACGTCCATCTGGGGACCAGATCCGGTCATGGAATCCACGAACAGCCAGCAGCAGGAACACCTTACTGCTGGAGCCATGTCAGGGATCTCTGCTTCTGGGCGGACACCCACCTCGGACGCCCAACCCCCGGCCCTCGCGCTGCCTTGTCCTTTGCCACCCTCTCAAGAGGCAAGAGCCCAGAGGGATACCCCTGGCCCTGGCAGGAAGGGGCATCCTGGAGTGGGCTGGAGGCCAGCTGCCCGGATGGGGCAAACTCCTCGGCCGGCTCCCACCTCTCGGGGGTCCAGTGCGCTACCTTGAAGGCGATGGTCTCATAGGGCTCGGCGGCCATGAGCAGGTACTGCCAGCGCCGGTCCGGAGGCTCGATCCTCTGCTCGTAGGCGGACATGAAGCGGTGGCGGGGCATGATGCCCTCGGCAATCTCGGGGTAGTCGATCTGTGGGGACACGGCCGGGTGGCAGCACCGCCTCTCAGGGAGGCCCTCCCCTCAGAACTGGGTCCCCAGCCTTTGCTCACCTGGAAGAGGAGGCTCTGCTGACCCATCTCCGTGTCCCTCTGCTTGGTCACTGCAACACAGGAGGTGTCAGGACCAGCGAAGGGGCCCTGGGGCTGGCCTAACACCACCCACAAATGGGAGAGCAGGCCTGGGGGTGGTCACCTGGCTGGGGAAGCACAAGAGCCATCCGCACCTGGATGGGCACCACCCAGGGCTGGGAGGGCTGCACCCCGGGTGCCATCTGCCCCAGATCACACGGGTGGGGGTGGGGGTGGGAGGGAGGCCTCCCCACTGTCCACCCCCCCACCTGGGGAGCATCGAGTGTGAGGGTCAAGACTGTGCCCCCACTTCTGGGAGAGGGTGCCCACTGCCAGAGCTCTGTGGCTTTGGGCTGCTTTCCACACAGGTGCTCAGTGTCTCCCTGCTACACCCAGGAAGACGCCAGATGGCCTGGACTGGCCAGAAAGCCTGTGGTGGCCTCCCCAGGGAAATAGTGCCATCCCTGTCCTGGCTCACCAAGCAGGCCTACCCCAGGGCCTTTGCACGCCACGCCCCGAAACGCCAGCCACACGCAGGATGTCCCCACCTTACCAGGACACCTACCAGGTGGCCTGCCATCCCCCCACCCGGCAACAGGGTCCCCTGTATCCCTTGTACTCCAGCTGGGCCGCTTGACTGGCTTTCCGAACCAGGTAACACAGGCACTGCTGCACGCGCAGACCCTCACCCTCCCCTTCCTTTCCCCGCAGGTGAAGAAAAGCCAGCACCCAGTTCCGAGGTCAGAAGAAGGAACCACACCAAGGCCCACGCTCGCGTCCCACAAGCTCACCCACCTTTGCTAGGAGCGTAAAGAATAACAACATGGCTCCTCCTCCGGCATGTGTGTGAAAATTCACGGTGGGAAGGCGGGTCCCGGCCCCCAGGGAAGGAAGCCCTGACAGGAAGTGAGTGGAGACACTCCCCAGAGGTGGATGGTGTGGGTGTGGGTGTGGGTGGATGGTGGGGGTTGATGGTGTTGGTGGGTGTGGGTGTGGGGTGTGGGGGCGTGGGTGTGGGGGCGTGGGTGGGTGTGGGTGGGTGTGGGGGCGTGGG